TTTGAGGAGTGTTGGTATTAAATCTTCTCTGAATTTGTTGTAAAATTCTGCTGTGAGTTCATCAGGGCCTGGGCTTTTCATTGTTACTAGGTTGTTAATCACATTTTCACTCTCATTAATTGATATTGGGTTGTTCTGGATTTTTATGTCTTCTTAACTCAACCTTGGTAATTCATACATATCTAGGAATATGTCCATTCCTTCTGAGTTTTCTATCCTATGGGAGTAAAGATTTTCAGAGTAGGTATTCATGATCTGAATGAATCATGAATACCTGTAAAATCTGTAATATCTGTAAAATCTGTAATAATTTCATCCTTTTCATTCCTTATTGCATGAATTTGAGTTCTTTCCTTTTTTTGATAAGGTTGACTAGGGGTTTATCAATTTTATTCTTTCAAAGAACCAACTCTTTGATTCATTTATTTTTTTGGAGGGGTTTTCATCATCTCAATTGCATTAATTTCTGCCTTAATCTTTGTAATCTCCCTGCTTTGGGCTTTGGGATTGACTTGTTCTTTTTCTAAAAGTTTGAGGTGCAGCATTAGGCTATTTATTTGTTCTCTTTCTGTTTTCCTTATGTGAAAGTTCACTGATATCAGTTTCCCTCTGAGGACGGCTTTCATTGCATCCCAACAAATTCCAGTAAGTTGTATTTACATTTTCATTTGTTTGTAGGTATTTTTTAATTTCTTCTTTAATTTCTTCTGTGACCAATTGGTTGTTCAGGAAGTTGTTGTTTAATTTCCAAGTGTTCATGGAGTTTTTGGAGTTCCTTTTGTCATTAATTTCCAATTTCATTGCACTATGGTCAGATAATATGTTTGTTTGTTTTTGTTGTTTTTAGTTTTTTTTTTTTTTCCAGTACCGGGAATCGAACTAACGACCTTGCGCTTGCCAGGCAGGCACTGTGCCGCTGAGCTAAATCCCCAGCCCCTTGGTCAGACAATATGTTTTTTTGTTTTGTATTTTTTTCCCTTAATTTTAAAGAGTAAAAGAAGGATAACATAATAATAGGGGGGAGCTTACCAAATTGCAGACAAAGTAGTAGGAAATTATCAATGGTTATTGTTTTACATATTGTTATCTATAAGATAGTTTCTCAGGAAAACAAATAGACAAATAATAGTGAGTTACAGACAAAAGAGGTAGGAGATTATCAATAGTTGTACCATACTTTGGTATCTTC